CGACTTCCTGTTGTGCCCGCGCCCCGCCGCCGCCGCCCGGCGCCCCTCGCCCGCTCCCCGCGGCCGGCGCGGCCGCCGCCCATGGATTTCACCTAGCGCCGCGGCCATGACCGCGCAGTGCTGCTGCCGCAAGGCGCCCGGCGCCGAGGCCGCGCCCGCCCGCCCGCCGCCCGAGCCGCCGCCCGCCCTGGACGTGGCCTCGGCCTCCAGCGCGCAGCTCTTCCGCCTCCGCCACCTGCAGCTGGGCCTGGAGCTGCGGCCCGAGGCGCGCGAGCTGGCCGGCTGCCTGGTGCTCGAGCTGTGCGCGCTGCGGCCCGCGCCCCGCGCGCTCGTGCTCGACGCGCACCCGGCCCTGCGCCTGCACTCGGCCGCCTTCCGTCGCGCCCCCGCCGCCGCCGAGACGCCCTGCGCCTTCGCCTTCCCCGCCCCCGGGCCCGGGCCCGCGCCGCCGCCCCCAGTGCCCGCCTTCCCCGAGGGGGCCGGCGCCGAGCCCGCCTGCTGCCCGCTGGCCTTCAGGGTGGACCCGTTCACCGACTACGGCTCCTCGCTCACGGTCACGCTGCCGCCCGAGCTGCGGGCGCACGAGCCCTTCCAGGTCATCCTGCGCTACACCTCGACCGACGCCCCCGCCGTGAGTCCGGGTGGGCGCAAAGGCTGCGGGCCGAGGGACGGTAGTCTGCACCCTGCCCTGGGCAGGCAGCGTGGCCTGGGCACTGGGGTGGGGGGGCAGCCTGGCCCTGGAGCCCTGTCCAGGTGCCCACAATGATTCCCAGCTGTTGCCTGCGAGCCCTTAGGAGCCTCGGATACAGCCCGAGTCCTGGCCCTGTGGGCACTGCCGACAGGGGACAGACAGCAGGCCACCCAGGGAGGCCTCCGGTTCAAGTGTTATGTCTCTGCCTGGAACAAGAGCAGTTTCTGGCACCTGCCAAGCCATACGTCTAATGGAGCCCGGCATTGAGGGGTGGGCCGGGGTGTCGTGGGCCTTCGAAGGCTTTGAGGACACCCAGGGGTCTGTTCTCTGGAGGCGGAATGAGGGATGGACACCTCTGAGCTGGAAGCAGAGGAGCAAGCCATGCAGGCTCTGATGCCTGGCTTTGGGCTCCCTTGGCCAGGACTGGCGGGGTACTGATGCCAGAGGGCCCCACAACCCCAACACAGACACATGCAGGCTCTGCAGGGCTTTGGTCACCAAATGCTCAACCCAGAGGCCCTGCCGGAAAAGCCGGGTGGCTGCAGCGCCCCCAACACACGCCTTGGCCAGTGGCGGGGCTTATGGCATGGAGCAGGGCCTCGCTTCCCACAGCGTGGGGGTTCATGTCAGTCCCCAGCTGGTGTGCACAGCCCACAGGTGACACCCTACATGCATACATGACACACAGCTCTGGAGGCCCTTGGCGGTCCCCTCTGTCACTGCGCATGGCACACAAATGGACAGGGTGGTAAAGGAGCAGCGTAGAGGCATCAGGCTGAGGGCTACAGAGGGCCAAGGTGACATCTGGACAG